TGGGTACTGACAGTATTATGCAGTGTGGCCATGTCCGGAGTGCTGAAACAACGCAATATATAAATACAGTAAAAGATAAGAATAGACCCCTTTAATTACAACTGCATGTAGAAATATTTATTGAGCTATGATTTACAGATGAAAGGTACAGATTTCATGTATGCATTTTGATGAGTTTTTAAAAATGGATATCCTTTATGATGGGCATTGAGGAGGGCACTTGGGATGAGCCCTGGGTGTTGTATGGAAACCAAATTGACAATAAATTATACTTAAAACATGTATATCCTGTATAAACACCACGCTAATCAAGATTAACATATCCGAGACCACAAAAGTTTCCTTTGTTCTCCTTTGTGGTCAGTTCTGCTCCCTACCCTCCTCCAGACAAACATGGATCTGATTTCTATGCTTGTTGTCAAACTTCATATAAATGGAGCAATACAGTGTGCATTCATTTGTGTCTGCCCTCTTTCTCTACGTGATGTCTATCTGGTTGATATGTGTTCATGCATGTAGAAACAGTCTATCCTTTTAATTGGTGATGACTGTTCGTCTTATGCATACACTACCCTTGCTTTTGAATAGATATTCATCTGTTGTTGGGCATTTGGGTCATGGTCAGATTTGGCATTTTGGATGAAATTGCAAGGAACACTTGTTTACACAGCTTTACATTTTCATCTCTTTGGGATGGAATTGCCAGGAGGCACAGAGTAGGAAAATCTGAAATCTACAGTACAGTAGGAAAACATTTTCTAAAGTAATTTTCCTATTTTCCAGCCCCACTGACATTGTATGAATGTTCTGGGAGCTCCACAGCCTCACCAGTAATTGATGTTGCCTGTCATTTAAGTCATACAAATGGGTATATAGTATGTCTCATTTTGATCTCTTTGATGAATAGTGAAGTCAAAAATGTTTTATTTAGTTTTGGACCATTCTTTGAACCTTTTATTTTCTGTAGAGTATCTGAAGTCTTTTGCCTATTACTTATTGGATTGTCAAGCCTTTTGTCAGATAAGTGTATTACAAATGTTCTTGATTTGGTTTTCCTTTATATTAATGATGATTTTGAAGGGCAAAAGTTTTTTATTATGATGAAAATTGAATTTATAAATGTATTCCTTTATGGGTAGTGCTGCATGTGTGTTAAGAAATCTTTGAGGCGCCTGGGTGGCTTAGTCGGTTAAGCGTCCGACTTTCTCTTAGGTCATGATCTCGCAGTTCGTGGGTTTGAGCCCTGAGTCGGGCTCTGTGCTGACTGCCAGCTCAGAGCCTGGAGCCTATTTCAGAGTCTGTGTCTCCCTCTCTCTCTGACTCTCCCCTGCTCATGCTGTCTCTCTCTCCTAGAAATAAATAAAAAATATTAAAAAAATATTTAAAAAAAGAAATCCTTGAGTATCCCAATATAATGAAGATTTTTATCTTAAGTTTCGTTCTTGAGTTTTACTGTTTTAGCTTTTTGTTTAGGTTTATAGTCCATTTTGAATTAATTTGTATGTGGTAGGTGAGGTAGAAATCAACTCCTTTGGATTTTCTCACATGTGAATATCAACTTAATCTTGATCCAGTATCATTCACTGAAACTACTGTTTTTCCCTCATTGAATGGCCTTGTTATATCTATTGAAAAGCAATTGACTATATAGATGTGAGTCAATTGACATAATCTTTTCTGTTCCAATAATGTATCTGCTATGCTTAGGCCCAAACAACATTGTCGTCCTAATTGTGGCTTTATAGTAATTCTAGAAAGCAGAGTGGGTCTTCCAAATTTGTTCATTATTTTCAAAATTGCAGTTGTTCCATCTGATAATACTTATGAAATATTTTCTATAATATTTCTTGCAATGCAAATCTATAAGTGAATACTTTCTCATTTTTATCTGAAAATTAATTTTACCCCTTTTTGAAGGAATTATTTTTATAAAACATAACATCTTAGGTTGATTTTTTTTTTTTGTAAAACATAAAATCTGAAGTTGATTTCTCACTGCTTTAAAGATCTCATTTCATTATCTTCTTGCCTCTTCTGTTTCTGATGAGAAGTTGGCTAACAACACAAAGTTGTACTTCTGTGTCTACTTTCAAGACTTTTTCTCTTGTCTTTCAGTTTTAGTGGTTTGCCCATGATTTGTATAGTCTTGATTTCCTTTGTATTTATCATGCTTAGGTTTTGCTGTTTTTATTAAGCTTGTAAATTGGCACTTTTTTTTTTTAACCAAAATAGAGAAGCTTTGTTGATGTTATTTTTTCACCTTTTGTCTGGTTTGACCCTTATCTCTGCTTTATTGTCTCTCCCATCCTTCTGGACTCCAAATTACATGTATGTTAGACCAGTTGATTCTGTCTTACAAGTACCTGAGCCTCTGTTCATTTTTGAAATTTTTTATTGTGTGTGCTTTAGATTATTAATTTCAACGAATCAGTTTTCATGTTCACTTACTCATTTTTCTGCCATCTCTAATCTGTTAAGCCTATTCAGAAACTTTTTATTGTAATTTGCTTTTCAGTTCTAGAATTTCCATTTGTTTATCTTTTATGATTTCCGTTTCTCCACTGAGATTCCCTGTCTGTTCTCTCATCAAGACTATTTTTCCTTTAAGTTCTTAGACATATTTTAATAGGTACTTCAAAAGTTCGTGTCTCCTAATTACAACATCTGGGGCATCTCTGGGTCTCTGTCTATTGACTACTTTTTTTAAAAAAATGGGAAGGCTCACATTCACCTGCTTATTTGCATGTCCAATAAATTTCGATTTTATTTTGGAATAATCTAGGAATGATATAGCATTCAGATTTGGGAGCATTTGCCTTCCTTTAAAAAGAGTAGAGTTTGTTCTGTCAGACAGTTAAATACTGATGGCTGTTCTTAATCTTGTTGAGGTTTGATTTTAACCTCTTTTAGGGCTGGTCTGGAATACTCTATGACATGGTTCTTATTAGAAAATGATGGCCTTTTTTGATGTCTAGTCAAATTCTTAAGATCTTTGCACTTTGGTCTCTCTGCTCTCCCAGTATGTGTGACCTCTGCTATCTGCTATCTTCATTTTACTTCCAGCTCTGTATCAGATGCTCTCTGCTTCACTTCCCCTTGTCTCACCTTGCATATGTACAGTCCAGCCCTTGACCAAGGTCATACGAAAATCCCCCAGAGATTTCTAGATTCCCCTTCTCTGTGGCTCTATTCTCTTTAGTGACTGTCCTCCGATTCCCAGCTGCTTCATCAGTGCTGAACTGCATCTGTCCTCAGGACAGGACGACTGCTCTGTTTCTGTTTCTCTTCCCTGTGTTGCTGTGAGGAAATTGACTACAGACTGACATTTGGGGCCTGTCTAGGTGTACTGAGGGATTACATATCTGTTGGGCCTATTGTCCAGTGTCTGCAGTGCCTTCATACGTTCAGTCCTCTTTTATGGTTACTACGAGGAAAGGGCATTCTGTCTCAGCCAGAAGCCTACATTTGGTAGAAATATTCTCTTGAAGGTTATTCCTAAGATTGTTGGTTCTCAAACTTCAGTATACATTAGATAAGTGGAGGACTTATTTACAAACAAATTGTGAGGCCCTGCCCTTTAGAGTGTCTGATTTGGTGATTTGACTTGGGGCCCAGCAATCTGCATTTCTAACATGTGTCCAGGTGATGCTGATGCTGATGGTCTGGGAACCAAACGTGGAGCACCACTGATTTAGGAAGATGGATCTTGAGAAAAAGCGTTGGGCTTTATTTGGGGCTTACTACTACATACGATTTTACTCTTTTTTTGTGATCCTATGCCTAACAGGCTTATGTTTTTATAATGCTAGAAATCTTGCTCTTTTTATTCAAATGTTGATTTTCAAAAAATTGTGCTTTTTTTTTGCATTGAAAAAAGGATTCCTCATTAAATTGATAAAAACAGAAAATACATAAGAGAGTAAATAAGGTTATGAAATACTATCATTCTTATTTTATTTGCCTGCCCAAATAATTTGGTCCATTCATTCTGATAGGAAACTTTTAGAACATAGCGTTTTAAAAGTTTCAGAAATAAGTATGTAATTTTTGTTTCAGAAATTGTGTTTTATTTTTTATTCTCAAACCTATATATATGTTTATATGTGAGTCATATGTATGTGTATGTGTGTTTTGCAGCTAAGAAGCAAAACAGTGGTAGCCATTTGCTGGATTGCTGGACTTGAGCCATATCTCTTCCTCAGGTTCCCTGAAAGCTTACACTGTCCTTTACAGCTATCAAGAGAGCCATTAATCCATCTGCCTTAGTAGCATATTTCATCCGCTCCTGTGCCTCCATTGTTTCAATAGCTCTATCTCTCCTTGGTTGTCAGGATTTTGAAACTTATTGCTTCCTTTCACTCTAAAATTGATGCATTTCCCAACAGGGTAAGCCTGGTACTTGCCTCAAATTGGTGGCTCTTGTTCATGTTTCTGACATGGTTTCTGCAGCGACAGCCAGTAGAGGCAGTGTCCTCGCGCCAGCATAACAGTATTAGTTGGGCAAATGGATTGGTATTATCCCTTCAGATTATGATCAATCTTGGACAGATATTTTTCTAAAAATTTTAAATGTTTTTATTTATTTTTGAGAGCGACAGAGAGTGAAGAAAGGAGGTGCAGGTAGAGAGGGAGACACAGAATCTGAAGAAGGCACCAGGCTCTGAGCTGTCAGCACAGAGCCCGATGTGGGGCTTGAACTCACAGACCGCAAGATCATGACCTGAGCCGAAGTCGGACGCTTAACCGACTGAGCCACCCAGGCACCCCTCTGACAGATTTTTTTTATTTACCAACTTCTTTCATTTATTGGAAAAATTGGTACAATAGTCTTTGGTGATTACATTAGAAGGCCCTTTGGTGGCACATTTTAAATATTGTTTCAGCTGTAATGTATGATTATTACAATTTCAATCTCAATTTCACAGGTCCGTTTTCTAATCATTTGATGCAGGCATAGTGAAATACTAATTACTAATTACTAAATATTAATTACTCAACAGGTTCACTTTGATGGCTGGGACCACAAATACGACTACTGGATGGATGCAGACAGCCCTGACATCCACCCAATTGGATGGTGTGACATAACAGGGCACCCTTTGGAAGTACCATATCGTGAGTATTTGTTTTATGTTGTTGATTTTTAAATGCTTATTAGCCTGAATTCCTACCTTAATGCTGTTCTTTTCCTGCCATTATAAGTATTTCAAAGCTAAATAGCAGGTAGGTGAATTGATTGATTAGTGCTACAGCTATGCCGAAATCTAATTATTCACAATGAAGTCTCAAAAGACATGCTTTTTATTTTTAAAAAGTTATAATAATCTTTAAGGAAATATTGTGACAGTGTTGTCTAGAAGAATCTTTGTTTTCCTACATTTTAGTTTGGGAAACTTTAACCCAGTCCAAATCCACAGAACTTGGGCCATTGAGTTCAGCTGACATGCATTTTATTTTTTTAAACATCCTATCTTAATTAATTTTGTCTTATAGATTATATTTCAAAAAGTTTTAGAAAGAACAAATATTTTAAATTTCAGCAATTTAAAAAATTGTTGAAAAAAATGTCCTCTGTTATATTGGTATTTTCATTATTTCTTTCCTTCTAGCTACTTAAAGTTAAAGAGGAAATTAACCACTCTAAATTTTAATGAACCTTGAACCAAAATATCTCCTCCTTTTGTCTGAAGGATTCCTTCGACCAGATGAAGCTGACATGACTAATAGCTGGTGCCAGACACATGTGCAGGCGCTCCATTCTTTTGTTTGTTTTGTTCCCTCACTGCTTCTGGTGTTTTTCTGTTTCTTGGGATAAAGGCCAACACGTTGTTCTGTTAATGAGGTTATCTTATATTGAGCCAGCCCCATGATGCTAGAAGCTTAAGGTCTAACTGCGTCTTTGAAGTAGTTCCTTAACTTAGTGGAGTGAGAAGAATTCCTGAACTTAATAGGACTGAGAAGCATTCCTGACTTACTAACTTGACATCTTTACATTGAACTGGGCGCTTCAAAAACTATGAAGTCAAGAAGGTGCAGGTCCTCATGTAACTTAGAGCGCGTTAGCAGGCATGCAGTCTGTACATACAGAATGTAAAACTTGGAGACCACGATCAATTCTATGTTGGGGAAAATGTGTTAGGGAAAATGTGTTAGAATTTGTGCTCTGTGGTTTTTTGTTTTTGTTTTTGTTTTTGTTTTTTTTTTTCATTCCACTTTTCACTCTCAGTGATTTCACACCTCCGTATGTCAGAGAGATGTTTCTCATTTTATGTTAACCTCCCCATTTCCCACATGGACGCACACACATCCATCCCTCATCACAGTAACTTTCTCAAATGGTCTCAGTGGAAATAGGAATGGGTCGACGCATTTCAGAGACAGAGACACCCTCTCTTGACTCCACTCCATCTCATCCATTGCCTTCTCCTTTGTCAAACTGCCTAATCAGCTTCTTGAACTGAGTACCTCATAAACATCCCAAAGTCTATGGATCAAACTGAACTCCATCCCAAGCCAAAAATCTTGTTTTTCTACTGTAGTTCCTGCTTGCTTTCAGAGTTCCTACTTAAGTAGAGTCATTCTGGACTTGGTTTGCCCCTTTTCCCTTCCTGCACCCCACACCCCACATACAGTCACCAAGTCTTAATGATTCTCTAACTTAATTCCTCCAAAATCTATCTCTGACTCCTGCCTGCTCCCTCCCAGGTCCATTGCATTTGATATCTCATCATAGTTCCCAGTGATTTGCAGACTGCTAGTTAGTGAGTTGGAAAGATCCTCCAGAAAAGCCTAGGACAGATCTCAAAATTCAGGTTCTAGAGGCATTATAACCTATCAGTTAAAAGTGTGGAATCTGGAGTCAGCATGCTTGGATTTGAATCTCAGTTTTAATGCTCACATAACTGTGTGACTGTCTGTGCCGGTTTCCTCATCCCGAAAATGGAGATAATATTAGTGTGTCTATCTCAAAAATTTATAATGATTAAATGAGATAAATGCACACAATACTTTAAAAACTGCCTAGCCCCATAGTATGTCCTGAATTGGTGCTGGCCGCTGTCAGGAAGTGAATATAGAATTCTATAGATTATCATTTTTGATGAAATTATGTGAATTATTAATGATTACAAAACCTGAAATTGTGCTAAAATTAATGTGACTATAGTTTTCCAAATATTTTAATTTTTTCCTTCCTTTCTCCCTCTTCTTCCCTCCCTCAATCCCTCTCTCTTTCTTTCTTTCTATTCATTTGTTTATTTATATTTATTTATTATAGAATTATAGTTGAACACAGTATTGTATTAGTTTCAGGGATACATTGTAGTGATTTGACATTTGTATACACTACAGAATGATTATCAGAAGTGTAGCCACCATCTGTCACCATACGGTGTTATTACAGTATTATTGTCTATATTCCCTGTGCTGTACTTTATATCCCCATGACATGGTTTACAACTGGAAATTGTACCTCTTAATCCCCTTTACTTATTTTACCCATCCTCCCAATCCCTTCCCTCTTAGCAACCACCAGTTTGTTCTCTATATTTATGAGTCTGTTTCTATTTTGTTTTATTTGTTTAGATTCCACACATGAGTGAATTTATGTGGTATTTGTTTTTTCTCTGTCTGACTCACTTAACTCAGCATAATATGTTATAGGTCCATGTTGTTGCAAATAGCAAGATTTCAATCTTCTTATGGCTGAGTAATATTCCACTTTATATATATATATATATATATATATATGCCACATCTCCTTTATTCATCTGTTGATGGACACTTGGGCTGCTTCCACATCTTGACTATTGTACGTAATGCCGTAATGCTGCAGTAAACATAGGGGCACATACCACTTTTGAATTAGTGTTTTGTTTTCTTCGGATAAATACTCAGAAGTGGAAATGCTGGCTGGTATGGTGGTTCTGTTTTTAGTTTTTTGAGGAACGTCCATACTTTTTCCATCGTGGCTGCTCCAGTTTACATTCCTACCAAGAGTGCACGAGGGCTCTGTTTTCCCTACAGCCTTGCCAGCACTTGCTATTTCTTGTATTTTTGATACTAGCCATTCTGGCTAGTGTGAGATACTATCTCGTTGTACTTTTGATTTGCATTTCCCTGTTGACTAGTGATTTAAACATCTTTTCATGTGTCTGTGGCCATATGTATATCTTCTTCGGGAAAATGTCTATTGAGGTTTTCTGCCCATTTTTAATTAGATTGTTTGGGTTTTTTTGATGTTGTTTGTGTAAGTGTGTATATATATATATGTGTGTGTGTATATATATGATATTAACCCTTTATTGGGTATACCATTGGCATATATCTTCTCCCATTCAGTATATATATATATGATATTAATCCCTTATTGGGTATACCATTGGCATATATCTTCTCCCATTCAGTAGGTTGTCATTTCATTTTGTTGATGGTTTGCCTCCCCATGCAGAATCTTTTTAAGTAGGTACAATCTCATTTGTTTATTTTTGCTTTGGTTGCCCTTGTCTGAGGAGACAAATCCAAAATAGTTATTGCTTAAGACCCATGTTTAACAGTTTATTGCCTATGTTTTCTACTATTTTCATGATTTCATACATTTAGGTCTAAATGTATAGTTCCCCCCCCCTTATAATTGATTTCTAGAGTTTTGAAAAATGCTTCATGTGATTTCAGTCTTCTTAAATTTATTGAGATTTGTTTTGTGACCTAACATGATCTATTCTAGAGAATGTTCCATCTGCAATTGAAGGATCATACATTCTGCTGTGTTAGAATGGAATGTTCTGAATATATCTATTTGGTCTGTGTGTATTGTTTAGGGCCACTGTTTCCATATGGATTTTCCGTCATGATATATCCATGGATGCAAGTGGGGTGTTGAAGTTTCCTACTATTATTGTATTACTGTCAATTTCTTCCTTTATGTCTGTTAATATTTGCCTTAAATATTTAGGTGATTCTATGTTCTCTGCATACACATGTATAATTGTTACAGCCTTTTGTTGGATTGATCCCTTTATTATTTATAATGCACTCATTGTCTATTGTCATAATCTTTATTTTACAGTCTATTTTCTCTGTTATATGACAGGGGTATTGCTACCCCCTCTTTCTTTCCATTTCTGTTTGCGTGGACTATCGTTTTCCATACCTCTACTTTCAGTCTGTGTTTTTTAGGTCCTAAGTCTCTTATAGGCAGCATGTAGATGGGTCTTGTGTGGTTTTTTGGTCAGCCCCTTTTGCCTTTCGATTGAGGATTTAGTCCATTTAAAGTAATTATTGATAGGTATGTACTTATTGCTGTTTTAGTAATTATTTTCTGGTTGTTTTTGTAGTTCTTCTCTGTTCCTTTCTTGCTCTTTTCTCTTGTGTTTTGATGACTTTCATTAGTGTTATATTTGGATTCTTTGCTACTTATTTGTTTGTTTGTTTATATTTGAGAGAGGAAGAGAGAGAGTTGGGGACAGGGGCAGAGTGGGGGAAGAAAGGGAGGGAGGGAGGGAGAAAGGGAGGGAGAGATCTCAAGCAGGCTTTATGTTTAGCACAGAACCTGACACAGAGCTTGATCCCACATTCCTGGGATCATGACCTGGGCCAAAATCAGTAGTCAGATGCTCAACTAACTGAACCAGTCAGGGACCTCTTCTCTCTCTCTCTCCTCTCAATCTCTCTCTCTCTCTCTGTCTCTCTCTGTGTGTGTGTGTGTGTGTATGATAGGTTTCTGTTTTGTGATTACCATGAGGTCATTCATATTATAACACCGTATGTATACAGAAGTGTATTTTAAGTTGATGGTCACTTAAATTTGAACACATACTACATTTTTACTCCTCCCCCTTATGTTTTGTTTTTGACATATTTTATATCTTTTTATATTGTATATCCCTTAACTAATTATTGTAGACATAGTTTATTTTACTACTTTTGTCTTTTAACCTCCATGGTAGCTTGATAAGTGTTTGATCCACTACCTTTACTACGTTTGCTTTTATCACTGCGGATTTTTCTTTTACAGTTTTTTTCTATTTATGGCCTTTTCTTTTTTCCTTGAGTAAGTTCTTTTAAACACTTCTTGTATGGAGCTTTAGTGGGGAAAACCTTCTTTAACTTTTATT